GTAATTTCGCTGTAAAGCGGCTTACTTACACATTGCACGGTTTTATCGAATCTGACATCTCGCTGATGCTCAAAGCAGAGCTACCACGACATATCCGGACTGCTAATCCACCATGCTAAGATATGCTGTTTCGTTTGAACAGTGTTTCAGTTTCATGACGTTGACGCATACGCAACAGCAAAACGGGCTTACACCTCAAGTTGACCAAGGTATTCTGCATAAATCTGAGCCTCACTTCAAGTACTGGAGAGGACAAAATTACGAGGAATGGCGTCTTACGAGAATCGCATTAATTCCAACAGTCACGATAGCCCTGAAGAACTGATATCAGTCCCAAAACATTTGGCCAAAGAAGCAGAATTAGCTAAAGTTTCGCTTATCTGATCATGTCTGGAAGGCAAACCAGCACTCAGTGTATCCTTAGTTGGAGCTAATGGCTGATATTGCCTTTATCTTCTTAACAGATTGGGGCTTTACCGGATTTTGATAAGACGATGACCATAGTTTGCACCTCGATGTCTGAACCTAACTTCACTTTGTCTGTAGCAACATATTCAGCTGAAAATGTAGTGCAGATAGTGAACAGCAGACCCCATGCAGCTGTATTAGGTTCATTGTGATGGTTAGAAGACATGTGAGATTGGCTGTTGGATTTATCTACACATTCTTAATGTTCTCCTATGTTGTTCATACCAAATCGAATCTGGCATCTTTACTGTCCAAGGAGGAAAGCAACGTTGTGCATCATACCCATGATGGAGAAGGAAGAGAGGAAAAATTGTAACAGTTGCAAGTCGTTTTTAAACTTTTATGATTTTGCCCTTTGTGGTACCCTTATTTTCACTAACTTTTGGTCAGACGCTGATGTCCAGTCATGCCATCAGTCGCGAGTACCTTACTTTTGAGGTAGAATCAACAACAGCTACGTAGCAAGCACGCTTTGTAAAGTCCTTTTTGTGATGTCTATTTATCAACCGGGCAAAGAAGAAAGATAAGTGATCCAGCCTAGACGCGAACCTGCTTCCTCTCGATTTTGAGTCAGACTTTCTACCGACTGAGCAGGCTTGTCGACGATGGTTGCATATGAGGGCCTCTTTGAACAGTAAATCAACTTAATCACCATTGTCTTTCCTTATTCGTTTGTAGTGCTAGTTCAAATATTTTGCTCTTAACTAGACTCCCTTGCAGGGTTAGGTGATTCATACCGCAAT